AGTTATATAAGATTTTTTCCCATTATCTTTGATTTTTCTGTAGCTTCTCTACTGTGTGCAACTTCTACCTGAGGACAAAGTCTTTCAGTAATTGTATATTTCCTCCATTATTTCTTTTCTAATTTCTTTCAGGTCTATATTAAACTTATTTTGAAATTGCCCAATATATTTTCAATACCTAATAATTGTTCTTTAAAAAAAATCTCTGTATATAGACTATGCTGCATTCTGGTAAAGTACTATCTTCAAATTAATTTTAATTGCAAACTGCTTAAACTTAAAAAAAAATCCTACTCTTATTAATTTATTAGAGGCCCAGTGCATGGATTTGTGCATCAGTGGGGTCCCTCAGCCTGGCCTGTGCCCTCTTGCAATCTGGGACCCTTCGGGGGATGTTGGATAGCTGGTTTTGGCGTGATCCCCACAGGCCCAATCCAGACAGGAGGGAGCTGATCCTGTGTGTTGAGCTTCTGTCCCCTGGTGGTCAGTGCACATCATAGTGATCGGTCATTTGGTCACTTTGGTCACACACACACACTATAAAGCATATGTTTTCATTATAAATGATATAAATGAACAGCCAGATGAAGAGGTGCATAGGGCAAGAGTCCCAGATGCTTTAGTCCCCATGGAGCTGGTAGAGCCACCCTCCTGGCACCAATTCAGAAGTTCCCAAACTCCATTGTTTGGGGACTTTATGGAGGTCCCAGTATGCAGGCATAATTGATTAAATCATTGGTCAATGGTGATGTTTAAACCTGATCTCAAACTTCTGAGTTTTTCTTTTCAATGATCTGTTCATATTTCTAAGTGTTCTCTTTGTTTATTTATTTTAAAGAATAGTTTGTTTTTTAGAGAGAGAGAAACATTGATGTGAGAGCGCACTATCCATCAGCTGCCTCCTGCATGCCCCCTGCTGGGAATCAAACCCACAACCTGGGTATGTGCCCTGACTGGGAATTGAGCCCGCCTCCCTTTGGTGCATGGAATGATGCAAACAGACTCAGACTCATCTAGGCATCTTAGGAAAGTTAGAGATTCCCAGCACCTACACTAGTCCTACTGAATACATTTTTAGGGTGGGGTCCGGACACATGTGCAGTTTTAAAAGCTCCCCATAGCTACCAGTTTACAGGAAGTACAAGGGACCAAGGAACATGTGAAATGACACAATGGGATGCAATCAGCAAATTCCAAACAAAACTAAAGGACAAAAGATGTGATTTTTTTTCATGAATAAATTGCAAGGAAAAACTTTCATCAAGACAGCAGAGTAGGTTAATGCTATGCTCATCTTCTCCCAGTACTACCTCAAAATTACAAGTAAATTACAGAACAAACCCTCCAGAACAGCCTGAAGACTAGCTAAACAGAAGTCCTATGTATTAAGGATATTCAGAGGCCACATTGATTCTGATAAGAGGGTTGGAGATGCGGAAGGGGCAGGCCCCACAATCAGTGTGGCAGTTAAGAAATGTGTGTGTGTGTTGTGGGGGAGGAGGCCCGATTGGCTCCGTGGGTAGAGTGTCGGCCTGCAGACTGAAGGGTCCCAAGCTCAATTCAGGTAAAGGGCACATGCCCTGATTGTGGGCTTGATCCCCAGTAGGGGCATGCAGGAAGCAGCCAATCAATGATTCCCTCTCATCATTGATATTTCTCTCTCTCTCCCCCTCTTCCTTCCTCTCTGAAATCAATAAAATTTTAAAAAAAGAAATGGGGTGGGGGGAGGAAACTCTGATGGTGGGGGGATATCAGGGCTGCAGGAGTGAGGGGTGCCAGTGCCAGGAAGAGAAATCCCCATAACTTCTGGCTGTAAAAACCGGCAGGGATTCTGGCTGAGTGAGAGGGCTGCTTGCTGGAATCCCAGGTTCTCCTTAAGGGGCCGGTGCACAGATTTACTCAGACTCACTTGCTCTGAATAGAAAGTTTGTTGACCTTCTCCCCACCCAGCTTGCACACCTATCAATAATTCCTTTAAATGTAAATGGTTTAAACACTCTAATCAAAAGATTAGTTTCCATTGATACACAAGTGGATAAAGAAAAGATGGTACAGCACTAGCTGGTTTTGCTCAGTGGTTGAAGCCTTAGACTAAATGGTCCTGGGTTTGATTCCAGTCAAGGGCACATACCTTGCTTGCAGGCTCGATCTCCGGCCCTAGTTGGGGAGTGTGCAGTAGGCAATCAATTGATGTTTCTTTCTTCCTGCCATTCTGTCTAAAAATCAACAGAGGTCGACTGGTGTGGCTCAGTGGTTGAGTGTCAACCTATGGACCAGGAAATCATGGTTCAATTCTCGGTCAGGCCGTATGCCCAGGTTGCAAGCTTGATCCCCAGTGTGGGGTGTGCAGGAGGCAGCCAATCAATGATTCTCTCTCATCATTAACGTTTCTATTTCTCCCTCTCTGAAATCAATAAAAATATATTTTTAAAAAAATAAATGGAAAAAATATCCTCAGGTGAGGATTAACCAAAAAAAAATGGTACATGTATACAATGGAGTATTGCTCAGCTATAAAAAATAATGAAATCTTGCCATTTGTGATAACATGATGGACCTAGAAGGTATTAGGCTAAGTGACATAAGTCAATCAAGAGAAAGACAAGTACCACATAATTTCACTTATGTGTGGAATCTAAAAAACAAAATAAATGAACAGTCACAGGCAGAGGGAATATTATAACTAGAGTTACCTACTCTGCCGTCTTGAAGAAAAGTTTTTCCTTGCAATTTATTTGTGAAGAAAATCACATTTATCTCCTACTGGGGATGTGCCTGCAACCCAGGTACATGCCCTTGACCGGAACCGAACCCGGGACCCCTCAGTCCACAGGCCGACGCTCTATCCACTGAGCCAAACCGGTTTCGGTGCACATCCTTTGTTCTTTAGTTTTGTGTTGGAATTTGTTGATTGCATCCCATTGTGTCATTTCACATGTTCCTCTGTGCCTTGTTTTTCCTATAACAACTTGGGAATAACCTTGTAATAGCTATGGTGTCAGATGGGTACGAGACTTATTGGGGTGATCATTGTAAGTTATATAAATGTCTAATCACTATGTCGAACACTTGAAACTAATACAATAATGTATGTCATTTGCAATTAAAAATATTTTCAAGTAAAAAAAAAGAATTATTCAAACCCCTGATACTAAAGCATAATCTCCATCTACTCTCCATTGCTTATGCAGGGGGCACCTCTTATCGGCAGGTTGTTTTTCTACTGAAAAATGGGGAAAATGGAATCTTTAGTCTAACCAAGTGGACTAGGCAAAGTCAGCTTGAGAGTCTGTTGTAAATGACCATTTGCTGGCAGAAAACCATCTACCCTGAGAATCCAGTGCCATCACACACTACCCATCCATTCCTTTTTTCTGGTAAATGCTGACTTCATGCAGGAAGGCAGGTACCATGTGACTCATTTTCCCGTGTCCCTAGGACTTGGAACTGGAGAGGTTTCCTGAATGCATCGAATGAATGGGATCCATGACATGTCCCCAAATCAGTAACATCTGGGTGGTGATCAACATATGTGCAAGGCCCTTTTTGAGGTTAAGTCACAAGGGCCCTTCACAGGGCTGTCATAGCTCCATGTTCTTGATTTTTAACAAGTTCCGACTATAGACAGCACAGTTCTCTACCTCCCTAACACCTCAGACACACAATTCCTCACATCTAACTGTGCTTCCAGCTTTAATGTGCTGTTACCTTGTTTTCTGGTGTGTAGGCAGCCTCCTGGTTTCATGCCGTGTCCCTTCTCTTGAGTGTGGGCTGTAATTCACTTCTAACAGACTATGATCATGGGAGGGAATGTCATTTGAGATTAATTTACGAAAGGCTCTGGCTTCTATCTTGCTCTCTGATGGAAGCCACCTGCCATGCTGAGCTGACTTAAGGAGGCCCACGGGCCAAGGAACTGAGGGAGGACTCTGACCAATAGCCAGTGAGGAACTGAGGCCTCAATCCAACAAGCCACAAGGAACTGAATTCCTGCCCCAAACCAGACGAGTCGTTTTGAAAGCCTGTCAAGCCCTGAGATGACTGCAACCCTGGCCAACACCTTGATCTCAGGGCGAGAGGCTGAGCCAGAGGAGCCAGCGAAGCCAAACCCATCATCCCGACCAACGGAAACTGTGAGATAAGAAATGTTTGTTTCAAGCTGCTATGTTTTAAGGTAATTTTTTAACACAGCAATAGAGAACCAATACACTTGGGACAAATGAGGCATTACTGCATCACAGCCTGAAAACTGCCTGGCAGTTACACCTTGGGCAAGTTACTTAGCCTTATCTTCAAATGGGAAGAGCCTGCCGCACCTCATGGATTAGGAAGGCATCTGTTCAGAGACAAAAACTGCTTGATATGAACTCAACATAGAAAACTGGGTCAAAGAGCAGTTTCAATGGAACTTTTCATAATTTATATTTCCCTA